TGCACTTGAAGCCCCCCTGACTGGGAAAATGTTTTGTTGCAAATGATGCAAGCAAATGGCTTCTCTCCAGTGTGGGTGCGGAGATGCACTTGAAGACTCCCTGACTGGGAAAATGTTTTGTTGCACACGTTGCACTCAAATGGCTTTTCTCCAGTGTGGGTGAGGAAATGCTGTTTAAGTTTACTGGAGGTGGCAAAGGTTTTGTTGCAAACGCTGCACTTAAATGGCTTTTCTCCAGTGTGGGTGCGGAGATGCACTTTCAGGTACGCTGACTGGGCATATGTCTTGTTGCACACACTGCACTCAAATGGCTTTCCACCAGTGTGTGTGTAGAGATGCAGTTTAAGCTGACCAGGGGTGGCAAATGTTTTGTTGCACACGCTGCACTCAAATGACTTTTTTCCAGTGTGGGTAACGAGGTGCTCTTTAAGATGCCCTGAACGGACAAATGTCTTGTAGCACACACTGCACTCAAATGGCTTTTCTCCAGTGTGGTACCGGCAATGAAGTTTAAGGTCACTGGAGGTGGCAAATGTTTTGTGGCAAACGCTGCACTCAAATGGCTTTTCTCCAGTGTGGGTGCGGATATGCACTTTAAGAATCCCTGACTGGGAAAACGTTTTGTTGCACACGCTGCACTCAAATGGCTTTTCTCCAGTGTGGGTGCGGAGATGCCGTTTAAGAACACTGGAGGTTGCAAATGGTTTCCTGCAAATGCTGCACTTAAATGTTTTTTCTCCAGTGTGGGTGGCAAGATGCTCTCTAAGGCCACTGGAGGTGGCAAAGGTTTTGTTGCAAACGCTGCATGCAAATGGCTTCTCTCCAGTGTGGGTGCGGAGATGCACTTCAAGACTCCCTGACTGGGAAAATGTTTTGTTGCACACGTTGCACTCAAATGGCTTTTCTCCAGTATGGGTGCGGATATGCTGTTTAAGCACCCTGGATGAGGCAAAGGTTTTGTTGCAAACGCTGCACTCAAATGGCTTTTCTTCATTGTGCGTGTGAAGGTGCCTTTTTAGGTCACCTGACTGGGAAAATGATTTGTTGCACACGCTGCACTCAAATGGCTTCTCTCCAGTGTGGGTGCGATGGTGCCTTTTTACATTTCTGGACTCGGAAAATGTTTTGTAGCAAACGCTGCACTCAAACGGTTTCTGAATCTCCCGTTTTCTGTGCACTTCAGCTGCCAGGGTCGAGGTGATACAGCGGCGAGTGCCAATTCGCGTGGTCACCGTCGACATGTTGGAACTTAAACTGAAAACACAAACTCACATTAACACATACCTTTGATACTGCACTGGTACGGGACGGGAGAACCGACTTTGCATACCTATCGCTTTCGGTGTCTGGCAAACTACGTTGATTCCCAGTCCGATGACCCAGATCTAGAGAAATCCTTTGGTGCGGTTTTCTGTAACAACAACAATAACAGTCACAAGTCACAGCAGTGTTTCACTCAGTCTTACACTTCCTAAATAACCTGGGAGTTTGCCGGGGACTTTTCTATCCTCAAGATTTTTTCATTTATAATTATTGCGGGGCCATAATCGCCTGAATGATTTCCAAGGAAAAAAACGGTGAAAACTCGGCGCGCTCTGGGACCTACTTCTAACATCACCTTCCAAAACTGCAGCACACTAACCGAGGAGCAGCCGAGCAGTACATCCCCCGCCAAGAGGAGCCGAGTAGGCTGTGCATGTCGGACACGCAAACGGGGCTGATGCGGGGGGAGGCGGACTTTATGCCTCCCGTTACGACTCTTGTAAACTCCGGAAGAGAGAGAGAGAGAGAGAGAGAGAGAGAGAGAGAG